AATGTACAGAATAGTAAATGATTAAAATTTCAGAACAATTGAATAATTTATTGCAGATTTACAGTAACAAGTTCAATAAGGTGTTGACCCGCCTCTAGCCTGGATGCAAGCTGCCACACGGCGTGGCATAGACCGATAAAGCTCCCAGATGGTCTATTGCGGTATTTCCTGCCAAATTCGATCCAATTGTCGAACGAGGTCATCAACATTCCGTGGCAGATGCAATCGCCTTCCCATCATATATCAGACATGCTCGATGGGAGAGAGATCTGGTGATCTGGCAGGCCAAGGAAAAGTTTGACAAGCTTGTAGACAGTTCATAGCAACACGTGCCATATGTGGTCTGGCATTGTCCTGCTGAAAAACCAGTCCAGGGCGCTGCAAAAGGAACGGTAGCAAAACAGGTCTTAGGATGTCGTTGACGTACAGCTGTACAGTATGTGTACCTCTAATGACGACCAAAGGGGTCCGGCTGTCAAAGGAAATGGCACTCCAGACCATAGTGCCTTGTTGAGGGCCGGTGTGGCGTGCAATAGTGAAGGCAGGGTCCCCCCTCTGCCCTGTGCGTCTCCAAACACGTCTTCGATGCTCGTCAGGACACAGTTGGAAGTGGGATTCGTGGCTAAGGACTGTACGTCCCCAGTCGGCATCATTCCAGCCATATCTGCTCAAAACATTCATGCATACGAAATTTCAAAGCAATTGGATGATTGCTTCTTGGTGCGTCGATTTTTTTGTTATAGAGTGTACTTGGATGATCGCTTACACGATCCAAGCACAAAACAAAACAAGTTTCCATCTATTTCAATCAATCTTCGTCCAAGAACTTAGATCGTCTAAACAGGCCTTTAGATCAGACACTAGAAAAAGAAGAATTTTTCGCAGTATGCACAATATTGTGCCAATCTAAATCACATTTCTTAGCGTAACTCTAAGGCTTTTGTCCATCAACAGTAGTCTCGCTTACAGAAAGTTCTTGCAAAACACTCGCACCCTACATTGTCACTTTTTTAAACCACGGATAAGTTTTTGTCAATTCCCTTAATCGCATGAAAGTATATTTTTAAAATCATAGTAATAATTCAAAAGGACATCTTTTAGTTCAGAAAGGGGAATAGCACTGAAAAGATCCTGGAAATCAAAAGTCGCAATAGAATTAATTTTATTATGTTTAATGAATTCTAAAATCGGTTGATTATTAGTGATAATCCAAGAAAAACCTACTTTAATAATATTGTTAATAATTTTATTTAAGTAGTTAGAAAGAATGGTGCCAGGTTTAGTTAGGTAAGTATTAAATCCACATGTGATTGTTCTAAATTTTAAAGGAATTTTATGAAATTTAGGACTGATAATTAAGTAAGGAAATTGTATATTGCTTATTTTTATTTTTAATCTCTTATATAAAGCTAAATTTTTTTAATGACAACATTACTATTTAAATTACTGAGCTTAAAATTTGTACTGTTTTTTAATTCCGTATTTAAAAGTTCTACATAGAATTTTTTACAGAAGATTGCATAATTGTTGTTAGTTTTGTCTATGGGAGTAATTAAATTTTTTTTTGTAGTTGCTAAATTGAACAATTTTAGAAAAATTTGTTGAATTGTTACTGTTATTTAAATTATCCTTATTATTGAAAACAAAGTGCTTAAAGTAATAATAAACACCACATTTCCATTCTGTTAGCATACCTAAAGGTAGAGTGCCTAGAGTAAAAATGTGGGCAAGGGAGAAACGATTCCTGATTGGTGGAAAGAAAAACTTTACCGCCGGAGGCGAGAGTGGAAAATTAGCCATTGGAATTACACGGAGTGAAAATTATCTGACTCAAAAACTTTATGTTCTATATTAATAAATGCATGTAATAAGTTCATTACTTACTTTTTTTCAATAAGAAACTTCACAGTTACAGTAAATGTTAAAATTATGACTGAAAATTTGGATAGTTGTTAGTTATTCGAATTTATCCCTATTATCACTTACTTGCATGCATATAAAGTTGTGTTTATCTCATTGTAAAGAGAACAAGGTGATGAAATAACTAATAGTTAGATAAGAATAAATGTATTTACTTTTAATACACATAATTTCTATCTAAATTACTTATAAATTTTAAGATTTGAGCATCTTTTTATCAAAACTTCAGAAGTGCAGAGTTTGGCGATATTACTTTGACATGTTGGCGCGTTACAATGTTCCCGTTACAATGTTACAATGCGCGTTACAAAGTAGCATTTGTTTACTTTTCGTTACCAACTGTATAAAATGCTAGTTTGTTTTAAATTTCAACTAATTATGGAAATTTTTGTTTACAATTTGTTGAAATAAACAATACCTTTTCAGGTGAATATGCGATAATTTTTTCCTGAAAAAGTAATAAATAATAATAAATTATATAATTTGTTTTATTAATTATTATTTCTGAAATAAATGGCATAATCATTATTAATTTTTATATTTTATTTAAGGCATTTATTAAAAGCTGAAGTCTTTTCATTAGTCTTTTTTTTTTTTTTTTGACGTTAATTTTTTAACAATTTCAGATGCTAGACAATGTTTCTTAAAAAATCTGTAATATCATGTGCTTTCCAATCTTAAAGTTTATATTATTGATACTTTAGTATATACTCTTAGACTAACAGAACCTTCAGAATAACACCGAATGAGCGAGTGGCGCCAATTTCGGTGTATCATCTGACAACCCCCTTGGACAAAAATATGACGGCAGCGCATGCGCTTTAGGATATTGTCATCACTCTTTTCAATACAGGCACTCTACCTAAAGGTAAAGAGAATCTATTTAATGTCTTTAAGCAAAACTATTGAGATCAGTAAGAAAGTATTTTACAATTTTATAAATTGATGTATGGTAAATGGGTCTAAATTTTGTGACTTTTATCATTAAATTCCTAAGTTATAAGTTTTCTATAATATTTAAATTACCAATAATAATAAGTTTATGGTGCTTTTCAACATAGTCAAAATATTTCTCTTCTTCAGAGGGACATTCATAATCGGATACATTAATCCTCACTAAATTTTTTCTGATATCATTAGAATTAAATATAGTTCTACCAAGGTATTTAATTTTTAATTATATTTAAAGGTATATTATATTTAAAGCTTTTAATTATGTTGAAATCTTTTAATGGGAATAAAGTTATAAAATTTTCAAAAATATTATGAAATTTGATCTTATCAAAAAAAGGATTTTGAAAGTTAATTACGAAATATAAATTATCTAAATTTTTCTTTTTATTTGGCGAAATTTTACTCATTTTGGCTTCTATAGGATTGCAACAAAGAATTTTGAAACGTAAATTAATAAAAGAAAAGTTAATAAATAAGATCTTGAAGCTTATATACATCATTAAGGGAGAAAGCGCAATCTTTAATTGGTTTAATATTATAATGCTTATTAAAATATTTTTTACCATATTAGAAATAAAATTTATATTTAATTTGTCACTATTAAGAGAGTTTTATATAAAACGTTTATTTTTGTGAAAGATTTTTTAAATATTTTTTTTATCGAAGGAACAAAAATGATTCCTTGCATCATGACTCTTTTTCTCGATTTTTCTGATATGATGTAGATTTGTAAATTGAGGTAAAGAGGGGGGGGGAATATTACGTACGACGTATTTCTTAAGGAGGAGTTTAATGTAAAATGTTTTTGTTTCTTTACGTTATTTTTTTAAATTATTATTTGAAAAAGGGACTGAAACTATTTCCTGTATTATGTAAGTTTTTCTCGCTATTTTAACAGATATGATTCAGATTCGTAAAGTTAATGGATCAAACCTTCACGTTCGAAACTTTGCCGGACAAAACTTCGTGAGGGCAAGCCTTCGCACTGACTAAGATTTGCGTGAACTTAACTTCGACTGGACAAAACTTTAAATAAAAAAAATTCTGAAATTAATAATTAACATTAAATTCTAACTAATTTATAAATGGATTTAAATAGAAAGAAATTTATCTATTATATAATTTTAATTAATTCAAATTCACAATTATCTTAGAATAATTGCCACAAGTAATTAAAATTTACCGTTATTTATCATTTATTATTGAATTAGAACAATAACTATCATATTACTGTAATTAATAAGGTTGAAATATAAAATAAAGAAAAATTTATTATAATTGGATACTTCTTTCTGTACTTCCTTTTATCTTCCATTCTTCCTTCATTTTTTCGCCTTTTGCAAACAAATCTGGCTTCTATATAAATATTACTTGAATTTTTATATGTAATCAAATGCCGAATTATAAGCTGCTTACAGTTCCTGGTTAAATTATTAGACGCACTATAGGATTCTATGTAAAATCTTAATTATCGGGAGATATTATACAGCTTTATTGTTTTTACGCAAACTGAAACTGGTCTGCACTTGCTTACGTTCGTGTATTAATTAATTTAATTAGAAAATAAGATAAGTTTAGACGGTATATTATATAAATATAGAATATTTATTGTATCAGGTATTATATTTGCATATTATCATAATTCGACCCAATTATTAGGCTCACTGTAGTTTTTTAATAATTACCTGTTTTGCACGTGTTTATATTTAATACTTTTATATTTAAACATACATATAATGGGTTTTAATGCGGGAGATTTTTTATATACTTCCTATTTGTATTTATTTTTAACGTATCGAATTACAATGTTAACCAATTGATACACGAACGTAAACAAGTGCTAACCGGTTTCAGCCATGCAAAAACAATAAAGCTGTATAGTATCACCTCATAATTAAGATTTTACATAGATTCTTTTAGTACGTAGAATAATTTCGCCAGAGACTGTATTTTTATTCAACATATTGCAAATCGTTTTTTTTTTATTTAACTAGTTTGGAGAGCTATCAATGATTTTTTTATTTATTCAATCTTAAAAAACAAATTACAAAGTCAAATAATAATTTATTTTCCGAGATAAAAAGATTCTCCTCAATCACAGCGTCCATTTCTCAAAAGTATTCAGAATGAATGTGAATCTACTGGTATGCAGGTATTAGCATGCAGGGATAGAAAAGGTAGATAAGAAACAATTGATTTGAGAGTTAGTAAGGTGTGGTTATTCCAGGAAGTGAACAATTCACAGTCGACATTGATGAATGGGCAACATATGATATGCACTTAAGAATGAACTGTTCTGAAATGTACGGGGGTCAGTCGTATGATTGCAAGGTATCTATCTCAAGAAAAGAAATATAGTTTAGTGTATTCAGACGAACATGAGTAGGTGTGAAGTGATTGTAAGAGATAATGGTAAGTACTTATACCCATTCCATAAATAGTTAACTCAATTATAATAAAATACTCATAATTTTTTTTTTTTATGTGGAATTTATTTTTGGAAATAAAATAAACTGAATTGTAATGCGAACTAGATAAGTATTTCCTTATTAACTTTAGAAAAAGAGGTTTTTTAATTTTTTTTTTTATGTATCTCAGAGATGTTGTTTCTCTCTCTCATATATATATATATATTATGAAATAATTTTATTTCTTTTCAGAAAAATAAAGAAGAAACGTTTTTAAAAAGATATAGTAAATAATGTTTCTAAAATAAATACCGTCATGTGGGGCTACTTTGTGCAAGATATCGCAGTTTTTGAACTTTGACAGTTTTTGAACTTTGAACAAAGTAGCCCTTTGTGCAGCCATAGGAATTCAGTTTAATAATCATTGTTAAAAAAGTTAATTGTTGACATTTTTAATTACAAAAACATCAAGATATGTAAAGATATTTGTTTGAAAATAATTTTCAGCGTTAAAAAACCATTTTTTATAAAGAATTTTTTCTTAAAAAGAATGTTTATTTCAAAACATTTGAGTTTAAACAAAAGGAAACCATATACATTTTTGAACATTGAAATGGATGAAATTTCAAAAATAATAATTATTACATATTCATTAACATTTATAATATTGATAAATTTGAACATAACATGCTTGAATGAACATGACAGAACTTGCTCTTCAGTTTCTGTCAAAATCACCTGATGTCCTATAAAATATATTTTTATGTGTTAAATCGTTTGATTAATTCATTAGAAAAATCTTTGTAGAAGAAAAATAATAGTTTACGAGCACGTTTCACGTGTTTCTTGTGAATTTTATTAGAGATAGTATTTCTGTGGGTTTTGTTCTTCCGAGAAGCTTCTGCAATCGACATACCACCAGCAACTGCTTGCAAACATTGCTGCAGCTTTTCTAAGGTGTAATCACGGTAGTTTCTCGTTCTAGGTATTTTTTTTTATAACGTCTGACAATTTTTCTGTCGAAAAAATAAAAAAAAAACGAATGAAACTTTGCACAAAGTAGCCCCACAATGCATTTTTTTTTTCATTTTCCGTTTATTTGTTATTAATTTTCAAAATTTTTTAACGCTAACATGATATAATTGTTTATTAATATATAAATAAAAAAATTTGCTCTTACGACAATTGTTTTATCAACGTCTTTGCATTTCACAGCTAAAGTTTCCACGCACACTTTTCGACTTCCGACGTTCTCGGAAAATTGTTGACATTGAATAAACAAAACACACTCTGAGATTGTTTTAAAATTCGAAAATTTTTTTGTAGTAATAGAGGAGACTTCTATCTTCAAATTTCACACATTTTTAACTTGAAAAAAACATAATACTGAACAGTAGCACTTGAAAAGTGCCAAATTCGAATTTGCCCAAAGTAGCCCCCGCTGCACATGACAGTACCATTTTTTAAAAAATAATTAAATATTTTAAAAAACAAAGAATTTTTTTAAATTAAATAATATTCATAAAAATAAGAATTTCCTTACAAAATAACAATATTAAAAATTAGATCCTTCTTTAAAAAAGTAGCAATATTTTCTTACATATTTATTTCCTTTAAAAAATAAGTAATAATATAGAATTTAATAAGATTTTTTGAAAATAAGATGTTTTTAAAAATATAAATAATGTTATTTAAATTAAGAATTCCCTTTTAAAAGAATGCATATGTTTTTTAAAACAAGAAATTCCAATAAAAATGCTTTTTTAAAAAAACTAACATTTATTTTTCAAAAATAACTATTGCTTTTAGAAATAAAATTTTATGTAAAATGTGCATAAACTTTTTGATGGTTGAAAATTTAAATTTGCTGCACTTCTTCCTGCTGTTTCAAACATCCTAAGTGTATGATCTTGTAATCTCTTTTTTCTAAATACCTTCCACAGTTATAAGTTGGATAGTTTAAAACTAAAAATTTGTCCGAAAAGATTGCATCTTAAATAAGGGGATGCTCTTCCTCTATATTTTGTTCTATATATTTCATTGACAAAAAGACCTCGGTGATAAATCGCGCCAAACTATTAAGAGCTTAATGATAATTTAAAAACAAGCATTTAACTTAAAATAAAACCTAAATTAAAATGCTAAAAAAAATAGTATATTATTGAAAAAATAATCTACGTAGTAGCGTATAAAATAAAGTTTTGAAAAATTAAAAAGTATAATTAATTATTTGGTAAAATAGTTGTGTGAAACACGCGCTACCCGGTAATTAAAAAATTTAATTTTAGATTGAGACGATATATAACATGCTGAGAAATTTTAAGATGTTTAAAAATCTTGGCACGATTCGATAATTCTATTCTCTTGGTGGTGACATAGAATATCTTCGATGATATTACAATTTTATCCGATATAACGATATATTTTATATCTCTTTTATTTTCATTTAAGTTGAAATTGCTTGATAATTATTAAATATATTATTCCATATCAATTATTCAATGAACTTACGAAGATTTTTTTTTTAAAAAAAAGCAGATGTATAACATAATTTTATCAGAAACATGATTTTATAGAACTCACCATTCGTTAAACATAATGTTTTATTCGAATGTCTTTGCTAAATTACGAGTAAATTTTACGATGACTTAAAAAGAAGCATCGTATTTCACAATTAAAAACAAAATTAACATTCAGCTCTCAGCGGAAAAAATATGAATGAAGTTTTACGCTACGCATGCGTAAATCAAGTTCCTCGTACGTTAACCACATTTAAATATTAATCTTCCCATTTAAATTCTACGTCTATTCCCCATTCTACGTTGTCACCCAATCATTTTTTAAAAAGCAATTAACTTTAATTTATCTCGGCTTCTACTAAATAAAAACAGTTTAGACTTTAATTTTGCTCTAGAAAAATACGTGGGGTTATATGGTATAAAAAAAATTTATTCCTCATAATTCAAATTGTTTTCATCCCCAATTAAATTTATTAATAAATAATTATTAAAAATTAGTGTTTGAGTAAAATTATCTTTCGATAGATGGGTTTCGTAAGTGATTGCGAGTTTTTTTTTATTATTGATAACTATTATTGATTATATAAATTGCTCATTTAATTATTAAGACATGATTAAAAACACAGGAAATGAAATTAGCATTAAGGGGACCAAAATTTCACGCACACTCCATACCAAACTATTAGGGTCACAATTTCCAGATCGCAGCTACCCCCTATATTTTACAGGTCCAGAATCCCAATATGTAAAAAAAAATTATGCTTATTCATGTTTGAGATTACTCCTAGAAAAAATTAAGATTGAAACTTAGTACGTGTAAATCACCATTAGAAACTTACCACCTTAGTACCATTAGAAAGAAAGTTATTGAGGTTTATTTTTCTTCTTTTTTTTGCGCACTATGCAGTATGTAAAAAAGAAGGTAAAACGAATTACACTGAATAACTTATTATAGTCCAAGAGAGTAAACTTAAATATGATAATCAATTAGTGCACAGTCTATATTTATAGTGACGAAATCAGACACTAAAACGTATTTTCTTTGAATTTCTTTCAAAAATTATGTACTTCTGAACACAAATGTGCATAGTTCATTGACTTTAACTTCTTTTTTTTTAAATTATTAAAATGTATTAATAGCATTTAGTATAACTAAATACGATTAATAAGATTTCTTAATGCGTATCCTTTTCTATGTCACGTACAAAGATTAAAACTAAAATCTTCCATCATACTGCAAGTTCAATCAAAATATAGAGTCAATGATACCGTATATCTTGCGACTACTCATATTTTATGCTAGCCACCTGCAATTACCAGTTGATTGAACTACACGAAATTGTCACTGCGCGATACTACAAAGAAGTAGTTAATAATTGGTATTCAAAAATGCATTCAAAAAAACGATTTTTGAAAAATATCTCAAGTTAAAAAAAAAATTAAACAAATTTGAGTTTAAAAACAAAAAAAGAAAAAATAATCATAAAATATTAACTAAATTGCATTAGACATAACTTAAGTATTGTAAGCAATACTTGATTTCTTCTTAACTCGTAACATGTAGATTAAATGTATGACTTAGGTTCATGATAAATTACGTATGCATTATGTTCTTTGAACTGTTTTCCTTCGAATCTTTAATTCAATAGTAAAGTTAAAAATTGTATTTTACAGATGGAATCTGGACACCCAAAACTTCAAAAACAGAATCGACTGAAAGAGCTGACTTCATAAATCATTTTTCTGAACCTCCTTCTTTGCAGCATATTGCAGTAGTGTCGATTGCAATTGGGCTATGGATGGCGCCTGATATAAGGAATGAAATGTCGTCTTCTTTCTTATCTTCTTTCTCAAACTATAGCAGAGATAGGGCTGAGTTGGAGACAAGAATATTAAACAAATTGTCCAATAGCTCTTTGCCCTCATCGCTGAAGACTGAAATCTCATACGTTATTCGACCCATTAAGT